ATAGTAATAATAAAAAAATAATTATTATAATAATACGAACAAAATGTGTCTGAGGAGTCAGTTATGTGGAGGAGATGAGTTTGTAAAAGTTAGTTTTGAGTATGTGTGTGAAGGAGGAGGTGAGTCTGAGCTTAATGCAGGGGTGTCACATGTTCCAACTTACGTTTTGACTTTGAATGAAATCTCTTATATCCACTTTTCGTTTTCTTGACATGCTGCCTCCTGGCTCTGCCTAACTACCAAAGACTCACAAATGAACACTTATTCAAATGTTATGTAATGGAAGCTGAGCTGAGCTCTGATATTACACAGCGTCTAGTTGACGATGTGACTCAGTACCGGTGTTCCCTAGCGGCTCCAAACTAGCAAAACAACGTGAGCACGTTCTGACTGTTTCCAACTTGAGTGACAGCAGCAACAGCCAATAATACGTTAGCAAGTATCAGCAGAGCCAATAGATTAGCTTTTGGGCGGGTCTAATAGTAAACCGGTTTCCGTTTCGGTCCAAGTGCTCAACCAAATCCATTTAATGGAGCGTAACATTGTTTTTGGACGGAAAAAAGTGCAGGGGACCAAAACTGCCTTTTGAAAAAGTGGGGGGGACATGTCCCACCCATCCCCCCCCAAAATTACGTCCCAGTCCAGAGGGACACCCCTGTACGGGGATTGGAGCCTGCATCCAGCAGTGTTGGAACAGATTTGGATCCGGTTCGGCACAGCCGTAGTGGATCTTTTTGCCTCCAAGGAGAATGCTCACTGTCCTCTGCGCGACCGAGACGCTCCACTCGGCGTGGACGCGCTGGCGCACGACTGGCCACGGGGACTGCTTTACGCTTTTCCCCCAGTGGCCCTGATACCACCCACCTTGCTGAGGGTACGAACCCAGCTCCACACTCTCATTCTGGTGGCCCCATACTGGCCAGCCATGCATTGGGTGGCGGACATTTTCCAGCTCCTGGAGGGCCAACCTTGGAAACTTCCGCTTCGCAGGGACCTGCTGTCCCAAGCGGGAGGCTCGATCTTCCACCCTCATCCAGAACGGCTGGCCCTGTGGGCCTGGCCCCTGAGGGGTGCGGGCTAGTGTCAGCAGAGCTGCCCCAGGCAGTCATTCGAACCATTCAGAATGCTAGGGCCCCCTCCACTAGGTCCCTATATGACTGTAAATGGAGGGTGTTTGAAGCCTGGTGTCAGGGCAGGGAGGTCTCACCCTTCCAATGCCCAGTGAACGTCATTCTGTCTTTCCTGCAAGACTTGTTGGATGGGAAGAAGGCTTTCTCCACCATTAAAGTGTACCTAGCAGCCATTTCCGCCCGACACTTGGGTTTTGGGAAGAAACTGGCAGGTCAACACCCCCTGGTGTGTAGCTTCATGAGGGGCGCACACAGGCTTCTCCCTGTGTCTCGACCCCTGGTGCCCTCATGGGATCTGTCCTTGGTGCTGTCGGCCCTCTCCGCGCCTCCATTTGAACCTATGGACGGCCTGGACCTTAAGATCCTGTCTCTTAAGGTGGTGCTACTCCTGGCTTTGGTATCTGCAAATGCGAGGCTATTGAGGCTATTTCTATGGCTTACTCCTGTCAGGGCATTCAGGCTCCTGTTGGGCTCAGGGCCCATTCTACTAGGGGCCTGTCTGCTTCTTGGGCCCTTTTTCGGGGGCTGTCAATCCAGGAGATTTGTGCTGCAGCAAGTTGGGCTTCTCCACTTGCACTTGCACGCTTCTATAAGCTTGATGTTTCGGTCCCTGCAATGACTCACACGATTCTGAGTGTGGGGTCTTTGGCGGGCCAAGACGTATCCCTGTAGGTTGGTGATCGCTGGATAAGCTGTCTGGCAATACGGGAGTCTCCATATCCCATAGTGAGACATCGAAACGAATGTTAAGAAAGAGAACTTTAGGTTACTGTCGTAACCCCGGTTCTCTGAGTAACATGAGTGAGATGTCTCACCAGACAACCCTTCTTGCTGGGCGAAGCGAGAAGAGGTGTTTATCTTGAATAGTGCGTACGTTGGGACGCTTGCTACTTATAGTAGCAGGGGGACGCGTACGTCACGGTCACTGGCCAATCAGGATTGGCGTATTGAGATAAGTGCTTCTGAGGAATCCGCGGAGGGGCGTATCCCATAGTGAGACATCTCACTCATGTTACTCAGAGAACCGGGGTTACGACAGTAACCTAAAGTTTTCTGTGTTTAACCCTTTATAGGGCCAACGTCCATATTTAGACACTTCCTCTCACATCATAAATGATGTCAGTGTGCTTTTTCATGAACTCTTAGAATTACGAGATTTCACCCAAACAATCATCAGAGATCAAGCTAGTCACGGTTTGCGCCATGGCGCCATTCCACCAATCAGGGCGGAGCTATAACGGGTCAACTGTTGGTGTGTCTGCAGAGCCAGAAAACTGCTCGTCTCCTCTCGTGTTTATGGTCAGATCTCTAAAACTAACAACGTTAGTTCGCTGGAGTTTTTGACAATTAACATTGCACCAACATTTTCTAAGTTAACACCCATTTCTCTTAATAACGGTAGTTTCTGCATCTTTACTGTTCCCCAGCTGCTTCAGCCCTCTCCCCCTCCCCCTGATCCAGTCCTCTCCCCCCTCTCCCTGCTTCAGCCCTCTCTCCCCTCCCCCTGCGCAGCAGCCGCAAACTCACTGATGCGCCTGCAGCCTCTCAGAGCTTCTGCTGCTCTAAACATTAAAATAATTATTTCATTTTCTGTTCCTCACTTCTGATTATTTTCACGTCTGTTTATTGCAACCACCAGGTACAAAAACTAACTTGACCATTTTTCTGTCCTGTCTGTTTATTATCTTCCTGCATCTCCTCTCAATCCTAAAGAAAAACTGCTATCTGGCTTCATATTTTTTCACCTCATGAGTTACCTTTGAACTGCAGTTCTAAAAGATCTACCGACCGCAAAAACAGCGGAGTGCGTGCTGCGCGCCGGCCACAACACTGGTGATGTGCGTCACCGGAGGACTAAACAGGTGATGCGCTCCGCTCCACAGCAGCAAAACGCATCAGGCGCAAATAAAAGACAGAAAACGTAAAAGGAAATGAGCTGACATGAACAATCGTGAATTAAATTTATTTTTGAGGTGGCGACACCTGATTTGATAATGTTACTGTGGCCGTGCTCAGGACGCAGTGTCTGGAGCGCGTCAACGATCAGAGCTTTGCATGCGCAGGCTGGTTAAGGTTAGGATGGGGGTGAGGGGAAGGTTAAATTAAAGAGGGAAAAGGTCACAATTTGGTTAAATGTCCGTTTTATCGCGGGCGTCAGATGCCGACACTCTGACACAGCGCGTCGCCTCCCAACACGCAGGGGCTCGTCACCTGCTGTCTTTTCCGAGGACTGCATCTTTTCGATTATCACGTGACAGCGACTAGTCGATGAAAGGCATAAAAAGTCACTACAGAGCAGTGAAGTCGACTAGTCGACTAGTTGATACAACCCCTAGCGCAGAGCTCTGATCGTCGACACGCTCCAGACAGGTGCGTCCTGAGCACGGCCGCAGTAACATTCTCAAAGTGTCGCCACCTCATAAACAAAGTTAACACGCAATCGTTCATGTCGGCTCATTTCCTTTCATGCTTTCTGTCTTTTATTTGTGTCTGATGCATTTCAATGCTGTGGAGCGGAGTGCACCACCTGTTTTGTCCTCTGCTGAATTCACCTCACCGGTGCGGCCCGTGCACGGCGCGCACTCCCGCCATTTGTGCGGTCGGTAGATCTTTTAGAACTGCAGTTCAAAGGTAACTCATGAGGTGAAAAAATATGAAGCCATGGGGAGGGGGGAGAGTGCTGGAGCAGCTGGGGAACAGTAAAGATGCAGAAACTACCGTTGTTCAAAGAAATGTGTGTTAACTTAGAAAATGTGGGCACATTTTTAATTACTTGTCAACTTGTTTCTCCGAGTTAAGACTGCTGCTCGCGTGGACTCCCTTGTGTCTGTGGGCCCCTGGGCCTGTGCCCAGTTTGCGCATATTATAATCCGGCCTTGGTACACGCGCCCTGAACAGGTTAAAGAAATTATGAATATTTTAGGTAAAATCTGTTGTTTTTAGTCATAATCTTAATATTCATGGTAACAGTAATAATAACAATTATGATATTAAATTCATTTAGCATCTCTAAGCTAAGATTTCTCTGGAAAATGGAGGACAGTTATTGCACCAACCAATCTCACCATCAGTGATGATGATGAACAGGAGGAAGATGATGATGTGGCAGATTCTCACATATAAAATATTCTAAATGATTCTAATAATCTGTATTAGATCACAAATTGTATCTATTGTCCAATAACGTATCAAAAATATTCCTCATTAATATCGTTTTATAAAATATTTTATATTGTTTAATAATTGTGATATAATCTGTATTATTGAACAGTGATATCATGTTCTAAAATCATCTCTAAAGTGTCTTATAATTACCTATATTATTCAAAAATATTGTTTATTTCACTTGTTCATGTGTTCATTTTGGGATTTCTTTTACCAGAACAGGGCCAACGTCCATATTTCATCACTTTGTTTTCTCTGGTTTTCTGCATGAAAATAAATATTTAGGAAAATTGTAACAACAGAAACACACTTTGGTTATGGACTGCAATAATACCCTGGGGTTTAAATTTAAACATGAAAACACTTCCATGCGTGTCCTATAAAGGGTTAGCAACTAAAATCATTCACTGGTTCTTCACAATTAGTTTATTTATTTTCATTTAAAATTTTCATTAAAACTTTAATATTTTCCAGAACGTTCTCAGTTTTTCTAAAAATTTTAAATAAACTATTTTAGAACAAAAACAAGTTTCTGTTTCTGCTGGATTTAAAAACTTTTACTGAATAAAATATGAAACATCAGTTCATCATGTTTTTGTTTCTGACATGATAAAATAATTTAGTTTATTTCAATGATTTAGTTCATGTTTCTTTTTTAACCTGCACCCTGTTGACTTCAGCTCTCTGCTTTTATTCTTTATTCAGGTTGAAGTTCTGCAGGTTGTCAGATATCAGCTGTTCTTCTCTGGGCTCAGCTCTGAAGTCCAACCCGTCCCATCTGACAGAACTGGACCTGAGATGGAACTGTCTGGAGGCTCCAGATGTTGAACAGCTGCTGGGTCTTGTGGAGAGTCCAGACTACAAGCTGCAGACTCTGAGGTCAGTATCTGGGTGGAGTGAGTCTAGGCTGCTGTCAGCAGGACTGGAATAAACCCAGTTAGCATCAAAGCAAAGATCCAGTGTTTCCATTAAAGCTGCAGCTTCCCAGTGGCTGTGAGAGGAGAACGGTGACAGGCTTCATGATTGGATACCAAGGAGCCAATCAGAAGAGCCAGAAGCTTTTTGTGCTGGTTGCTTCCACATGTCTAGAGACAGTGGTCCTCATCCTTCAGATCTGATCTCAGACTGCTGTTTGTCTCGTTTCTACAGGAAACAGCTGATCACTGATCTGTGTCACAGATCTGAGATCAGTCTGACTGCGGCCTGTAAATCATTGGCTCTGGTTTCATGCAGCAGACTTCCATTTAGGATCCATGTGGTCTTTCTACAGAGAAGAACCTCTGCTGTCCACTCAGCACATCTGTCCAGCTGTCCTCCTGTCATTAGTCTGATCCGGATGTGTTCAGGGACAGCCTCCATGTCTCTGACTCAGAAGCAGATGAGTTAGTGTGTTTAGATGTAGCAGCAGTAAAGCATCACTACATGTTTGTGTAGTAATGAAGCCTTCGGGACTCTCAGCTGTTTGTTTCCTCTGGAGTCTCACCTGCAGAGGTAACACACCTGCAGAGGTAACACACCTGCAGAGGTGGCCTTAAAAAGGTCTTAAAAAGTCTTAAATTTGGCTCCCTTCAACCTGCAGATACCCTGTTAAACATCCTTAAAGTTCAAACGTTCAGACGCAGAACACAAAGCGCTGTAAAAAAAAGCGTGCAAAGTGGAACTATAAACTAGTGAAAGGTGAACTGTTACTGCACTGATGTTTGCTGATATTGGTTTGAAACGGGTTTTCAGTGGTGTCACATGTACATGAGCAACGGGTGGAATTGTTCCATTTTGTTTTTAGTTTCCGTTACATTTAGGGAGATGTTCTTGGAGGGTGGTTCTGTTTCTGTTGATAAACACTTAGTGTCAGATCTGTTGTCTGAAGAGCTGCAGAGCATCAGTTCCCTTGCCATCGCGCAGTTCGGTGTGGATTCTGGAAGTTTTGACTTGTTATTTGTGGGTTTTTCCAGTGTTGATGGTAATAAGCTGATGTTATGCTGAAGAATGAACCAAGAATAATTAAGGCTTACTACTATTACACATGACTATATATGAACATGTTCAGCACGTGCACAGTTTTTTGTATGTGGCTGATCACAGCACCCCCTTAGTAAAATATGTTCCCACGACACTGATACGGAAATTCTTTGAAGGTAGGTCTGGCAATCGTCTGCGTAGTTAACTCTGTGACTTGCTAGAAACTTACCGAGTGGTAGCATGTAAACTGAAAAAAGGAGAGAACCCAGGATGGAGCTCTGCGGCACTCCCCCTGGAAGTGAGATATTGGGAGAAGAGCATTCTTGAATATGGACACTAAAACACGATCATTGAGGTAGGACTTTAACCAGTCGAGGGCAGTGCTGGTCACACCCACCCATGGTTCAAGCCTGTGAAGTAAGATGGTGTGGTCTACAGTGTTGAATGCTGCGGTCAAGTCGAGTAACAGTACCAGCACATGGGAGCCAGAGTCCGGTGTTATGTCTAATGAGTATTTCTGCATAGTATCTATTCCTAGCTGAGCGGACAGCTTTCTGATAGCGGGTTAGGGAATCCTTGAATAATTGGTAGGAGATTTGCAGCGTGTCCTTCCGCCACTGGCGTTCGCAGGACCTGCATTGGCATCTTAGTGCATGAGTATCGTCATTGAGTCAAGAGTCTGCTGCAATTTTTTTGTGCCTGGATTTAAGTGGAGCAACTGTGTTCAAAACAGTTGAGCAGGTAGAGTTAAAGGAGGTCATCAGCATCTGCACAGGTGGAATCAGGTTGGGAGAGAGTAGCAGCTAGGCTAGATGCTAATAGGTTGGTGGTGGAAGGGGAAATTACTCTTGTAAAGTGTTGATTGTGCTGCCTAGAGGAGGGAGGCGTCAAGCCACAGATATTAAAAATAACAGGAGAGTTATCAGAGATACATGCAGAGTTACAATTGTAGCGTAGATAATCTACATACTAGAATTTAACGCTGTTTGCTATCAGCTTGGCTAAATCCTGAGAAAGATCAAACAATTTGGCTTATGAACTTATATTTACATAGATATCCACGGATATTTATATAATTGATAGAAGTTCATACACCAACTGTCTTGGTCTATATTTAATCCAAATATTAATATTAAATTTAAGAGATTTAAGTTAATGGCAAAAGTTTATTTATTAAATCAGAAGATTTAAAAGGAATCTTTGCTCATTCAATAACCAAATATACACCACTCTGTTTCATTTCAAAGAAGAGTCAGGTTTAAAAAGTTAAGAATTTATTACTAACAATTTAAATATGACAATTTAAAAGACAATTTATAAATGACAATTTATAAAACTTTGGTATTAAAACTTGGTATTAAAGCAACATGTGTCTGGATGAAAACTAAAATGAAATGCGTGTGTTTGGATGTGTGAAGGGAATCTCAGAAGGTTCCTATCAGAGAGAGAAACACATTCTGGGTGAAAGAGTTTGTTTTGCAGCTAACTAAGTTATTTCTTAAAGAGAACAGCATATGGACGCAATCTGTGTTCTACCTCACCGATCAGACGACCCTCTGTGTGGATCCGGAGGTCAAGGGAGGATGTTGTCAGCCTCTGGGTACTTGGTCTGGTAGGGAAGACCCGAGTGGTACCGACTCTCTGGTCCAAGAGTTGCCGTAAGGCACACAGGTGTTGAGTTTGCATCTTAAATTAACTCTGAAGGAGTTTGCGTCAGCTGGTTGCAGGTAGCGTTTATTGGAGCAATTCTATTGGCATGACAGAACAGCTTAGTGGAGGCTTCTGCCGGCCGACCCTATCCTCTGGGACTCTCGTGCCACGGAGAGATTTTGGTTGGTTCAAGAACCGTCAGCTTGAACTGAGGAGTTTGGTTTTATTAAACCTCTGGAAACACCCTTTCAGAGATGGAGAGCTTGTTGTTATGGAGCAAAGACGTGAGGTGCAGTTACCTTTACCCTGATGTCTGTCCCCTATGTGGTGTATATAAGTGAACATGACCTTCTTTACACTGTTAAACATTACTGATTATCATAATTATTATTATCAACCAAAGAATAATAATTCATTTCAGTAATTAAATACATTTATAATGAACCATGATGATTATTTATGAATCTTGTAATAAGACAGTGAAAAGAGTTTATTAAAAATGATTCTTTTAAATCTTGAAGTGTCCTTCATCTTGCGGACGGAACATCTTACAGAAGACTTGTGTCTCCTGTGATGGATAATCTGTGAATAAAAGTACAGCTTGGCCCAGCTCGACCTAGCTCAGGAAGTGTGAAATTTGGGTCACAAATGAGGCCATTCATGTCGTGACACAATCAAGTCCTAAATATGCAAGCCTGAGTGGGTGGGTTACTGGAAATGTTGCTGGAAACCAAAATAACCTAAAATGTCAAAAAAGCCACCAACAAGATGTTTGTCAGGGTAGCAAACATGAATATTAAAGTCACCAAGAATAATCCCACGGTTAAGTTTTAGAAGAAAGTCTGTTGAAAGATCAGAAAATTCTGATAAAATATTCGAGCTGTACTCAGGTAGGCGATAGCAGAGAAATAACACCAGCAGAGGACCAAAGTCCACCTCAGAAGCCATAAACTCAAAGCTGGTAGGAGTCACGGGTTTTGTACGTGTTTTAGGATGGAAGGAGTATCTGAACATGGTTAGCAAGCCGCCACCACGACCAGTGAGCTTGGGCTTGTTCTAAACCTGACAGTCTGAGGAACAGAGCTCTGACAGTACAGCTAACTCACCAGGAAGAACCAAAAGTATCATGCTGGAAAAAATAATCCCTTAAAATGGCGGTTTTATTCCCAATTGACCGGACGTTGAGGAGAGCAACCCTGAAGAGAGGTGAACGACTGGAATCAGATGACTGGGGTGACTGGGCAACTTGGGCCACCGTGGGATAGCAGATGGTTCACACCCACAAAATCCACGGGTTGGTGGGGGAAGTATTCCGGCGACTGGATTCCCCAGAAAATCTGTGGCAGAGCAATGGAATGCAAAAGGTCCGATGACTTCCATGTCTCAACTCCGGTGGCAGGTGAGGGTTACATCCGCACGAGAAGCCGGAGGAGGATCTGAGTGGCACTATGGAACCCTGCGTTTTCCAAGTCTGCGGCATCTCCTAGGTAACCATGGCTTGTAGGTTAAGGCCGGAAGCCTGGATCTGGCCGGGTAATGGTGGCTGGAAGCCTGGAGTCAGAAATGGTAAGCAGACTTGTGAAGGCGTTGGGTAAGGTACTCTGATCATGGACCGGCTGGAATCTTCAGGCTCCACCTTGGAATCATAGAATCTGATGGCTGCAGAATATGGTACAACAATGCTTGTGACACACAAGAGCAGTTTCCAGAACCAACTCCAAAGCAGGAGAGCAAAGCAGCAGAGCTGGGACCTCCACAAACAGCAGATTAGAGCACAGTTTTAGATTAGAACAGCGGTGATAGGCAAATCTAAGATGATGCCAAAGTTCAATGAGGGTGGGACGATCATAGTGAATGGTTGAGCTACAATCCACCAAAGAGCAACACAGAAACATCCATCCATCCATTGTCTGAACCCGTTTCGTCCACGTAGGGTCGCCGGGGGTGGTGGTGGTGGTGGGGGGGGGGTGGGGGTGGGGGGTGGGGGTGGGGGGGGGGTGGTGCCCATCTCCAGCGGTCAAAGGGCAATCAGGTGGGGTACACCCTGGACAGAGAGCCAGTCCATTGCAGGGCAACACAGAAACAAAATAAGCAAAAACAACAGTTGGGGCAGCAGACGGCTGGCCGAGAACCCTGGTGCCATCTTGGTTTTCACACTAGAACTAGAGATTGGATACACCGGCTTTGGTCCTACTGTGTGTGTAACAAACCTGAGAAGGAAACACACCTGTAGAGGAAGCACACCTGCAGAGGAAACACACTTGCAGAGGTAACACACCTGCAGAGGAGGAAACACACCTGCAGAGGAAACACACCTGCAGAGGAAACACACATGCAGAGGTAACACACATGCAGAGGAGGAAACACACCTGCAGAGGAAACACACCTGCAGAGGTCACACACCTGCAGAGGTAACAAACCTGCAGAGGAGGAAACACACCTGCAGAGGAAACACACCTGCAGAGGTAACACACCTGCAGAGGAGGAAACACACCTGCAGAGGAAACACACCTGCAGAGGTAACACACCTGCAGAGGTAACAAACCTGCAGAGGAGGAAACACACCTGCAGAGGTAACACACCTGCAGAGGAAACACACCTGCAGAGGTAACACACCTTGTTACAAAGCCATCTTCCCAAGCTAGCCTAACTGTTCAAAAGATGTCAACATCTCAGGGTTGACTTGTATTTCTATGTGTTTCCTCCGCTGCTGGTGTAAAAAGACACCAGCCACTCTTTAAAATGCCCTCACTCTGTAGAAGCTGATTAGCAATCACTGCTAGCCTAGACTGATTCTGGCAAAACCAACTTTGTGCAGCTCAAGGGAGACTCAATTTACTCACAAACACACCCTCAGTCCATGAAGCTTATGCACACTTCAGGTTAAGACTCTTGCCAGCTGTTCCTTTTATGTTGAGGAGACAACTGACTTTACCTGTAGCCTAGGATGGAGGAAACGCTTATATCCCAAACACCTTGGGATGGCATTTACAACCGGCATCTCACCTTTGTTCGGTTACCGACAGGAGGAGACCCCACTCGTAAATCCTTTTTTCATTCCTCGAATTCGAGGAACTAGGTTTTATTTCACACAGATGAAAAAAGAATACTAATCCAAACGAAACCCCGGATTAAACAGTGAAACAACTCTTTGCCAATGAACCGAGTTATAGCAAAGTTGAGCTGAATTAAGGTCTCCAAAAATGAGACTAGGTCAGATTATCACAGACAAAAAGCTCAAAGCAAAAGCTTCCTTCTTTTCATCTCTCTACCTCACAAACTCTTCCCATCAAAGGCAAAAATCTTCCTAAAAACTCTCAAAAGCCTTTCTCCAAAAAGCTCAGTCCATGACTGACTGACTCTCACTCATCTCATCAAGCTCATCTCTTGAACAGACCCAATACTTTTATTCACTCTGTCCTCCTCCCCTCTGCCTTCTTCAGGGGTGCATCTCCATGGCAACACGCCCTGCTCATGAAGCACAATGTCCAGTCACTTCTGGTCTTCCTTCTCTCAGCGCCTCCCAAAGGCTTCCTTTCTTCTCCTTTGGGATTAAATCACCTCTTCTTGTAGCCATTGGACAGTAGGGGGGGACGTGGCATGATTACCCCTTCCTTTTCTTCTGCTCAGGATCAAATGGTCATCTCCAGCATTAGCTGGACAAGATGTCTTATTTATATGTTTATATCATCTTGAGCAACTCCACAGAGGATAAAAGATAACATACATGCTTACTCCCAACATCTGTTCAGGTCAAAACAGGTTATATCCACAACATGAATCGTTTGACCATATCAGCAGAGTGAAGGTGCTTAACTAATTTACGACATCACAGTTCAGGGGGCTAGAAGGCTGCCTGGACACACACACACACACACACACACACACACACATGATAAGAGAAGGTAACAGGCCTTTAGCTTGGTTTCACACACACACGGATACACCTTGTAGAGCCTAGAATTGATTTCACATAATGAAAGACATAATCCAGACTTAATTCCATACATTAACAAGTCTGATTATACTGCATACAACACACCTGCAGAGGAAACACACCTGCAGAGGTAACACACCTGCAGAGGAGGAAACACACCTGCAGAGGTAACACACCTGCAGAGGAGGAAACACACCTACAGAGGAAAAACACTTGCAGAGGTAACACACCTGCAAAGGTAACACACCTGCAGAGGAGGAAACACACATGCAGAGGTAACACACCTGCAGAGCAGGAAACACGCCTGCAGAGGTAACACACCTGCAGAGCAGGAAACACACCTGCAGAGGTAACACAACTGCAGAGGAGGAAACACACATGCAGAGCAGGAAACACACCTGCAGAGGTAACACTCCTGCAGTGGAGGAAACACATCTAAAGAAGAAACACACCTGCAGAGGTAACACACCTGCAGAGGAGGACACACACCTGCAGAGGTAACACACCAGCAGCGGAGGAAACACATCTACAGAGGAAACACACCTGCAGAGGTAACACATCTGCAGAGGAGGACACACACCTGCAGAGGAGGACACACACCTGCAGAGGTAACAAACCTGCAGCGGAGGAAACACATCTACAGAGGAAACACACCTGCAGAGGTAACACATCTGCAGAGGAGGACACACACCTGCAGAGGAGGAAACACACCTGCAGAGGTAATACACCTGCAGAGGTAACACACATGCAGAGGTGTGATGCCACACCTGATGCTAAAAGTCTCTGCAGGTGTGTGAGCTCCACACCAACACGTTAACATGAAGCTGCTGCTGATGGAGGATGTGCTGCATCACTGACTGAAGCTGAAGGAGAGTCTGGAAACAGGAAGTCATCTCCTCTTTTCTTCTCTCTGCAGGTGGGAGTCATGATGACCTTTGACCCTTTGACCAGGAGAGAAGATGAGCTGAGTCCTGAAGGTCCTCAGAGGCTGAAGCAGCATTTTGTGTAGAAAGAGACTCAGACTGGATCATGATGAAGAATGGTTTACTTTTATGGATTTTAGTGCAACATCTTCTGCTTCTGTGTTTTTATCTCTGGGAGAAAACTTGAAATGATCAATAATTTAAATGTAAAACTTGAACAACACCAATAAGAGCAGCTCCATGGGAGCTTCTTCAGGAAGGAATTGAGACTTTTTTCATCCATTTCCTGTGAACTGGTGATCTGTTGATGTTAAAACAGAAAAGCTGTTAGATGTTTTCTGTCTCTTATCTGCAGATCCAAACTGAATCTTCTAGCTTTTCTGTTTACGCTGAATCGGACACAAATCTAGCCGGCATGCACTGCTCGCCGATCACCGCTGGTCTAATCTGTGCAGAACTGGCTCATCTCGAACACAGCCATTGTCTCAGATCAGATGATGTCTCAGACCAAATGATGTCACAGATCAGATTATGTCACAGACCAGATAATGTCTCAGATCAGATTATGTCACAGATCAGATTATGTCACAGACCAGATAATGTCTCAGATCAGATTATGTCATAGATCAGATGATGTCACAGATCAGATGATGTCACAGACCAGATAATGTCACAGACCAGATGATGTCACAGACCCAACAGGTGAACTTCTCCTGAAACTTGCTGTCCGGCTCTAAACAAAACTTTTCTTTTTATGAACTGTTTTTAGTGGTTGAAAGTTACAACAAGGTTATGGTTATTGTAACCTTCAGTTGTGTGTTTACCTGTAATCTTATTATTTTTCTTTCCTCTAAGTCTTTGTGCTGCTGTAGCTAGAGAGTTTCCTCACGGTGGGATTAATAAAGATGATCTAAAACCTCAAAGGGACGTGTGTTTCTGCTCCTCTTTGTTATCAAACATCTTCTGACTGCACCAACACAACACCAGATCAACCACCACAGTTTGTTCATATCTACACAGCTCTGATCCAGATGTTGTGAGTGGAGCAGATGTGCTGTGGTATCAGTAACAGCTGTGTTGGAGGTGACTGACACCAGCGTAGATGATCCTGCTACACAAACATTTACTGTTACTGCTTCATCTCCACGAGGCTGAAGCAGCTTCACATGACAGCTTCTGCTTCAGTTAAAGGCTCCTTCCACACATTTGTGTTCATCCTTTGATTAGAGCTGCTTCTAGAACTACAACACCTAGACACTCACACCTGCTCTCAGATCTACAAGCGGAATCAGGAAAAGGTTGTTTCTGAGAGTCTAACCTGAGGGTCTCAGATGGGATAAATGCAGATGGGAATGATGTGAAATGATTTTCTCTTCTCTAATAAAAGCTCTGAGAGATAAAACATGTGAACCTTCAGACTCTCTAGGTGGACATCTTCTCTAACGTCTTCCCTCTGACTGGTTTCCAGTCCAACAGCTCAGGCTGCTGCTGGAACTGAAGCAGCAGGTGGAGCAGGAGGAAGTCTCTGGAACTACAACAGGTCTCTTCTTGGACCAATGAAAAACAACCTTCTACTTCCTCCTTCCTCTCACATCTGTCGAGCAAAGACATTTAAACTGTTTCTAAAAACTCCAACATTTCACTGAGACGTGGTGATGATGTCATCCTCTGAGGGTGATGACACACCAGAGGTGACTAGAGGTCTGTTTCATGGTTCAATACAGCTGCACTCCACTCCTGCAGCAGTGCATGCTGGGTGCTTTTTATCAGAAGTGGAATGCGGCCTCTTTTCCTACTCAGTCAGGTGTATTATCAGCATGTTGGCCCACAGCCAGCTGCTCCTTTAGTGCACCAGGAGGAGTTTTCAGACCTTCTGCCTCCATCTTTGAACCAGCAGCTGTTGTAGTCTGGTCTGACGGCTTTTTGCTCTGAGCTACAAACCAGTTGTCTGTCAGCAAAACCAGTCCAGGTTCAACTTCCTTCCTTTTGACTCCATTCTGATCATTTCTGATGAAACTTCACTTCTTCAGTAACGGGTTAGATTTTAGGGGTTGAGACTTTTTTCCAAAGACAAGAACAGAGAAGTAATTCACTAAACCAGCAGAAATAATAAAAATGTTGTTTTACATCGACCCAACCTGCTTACATGTGAGCTGAACTCATCCAGGCTCAAACTAAATCATCTCTTTAGAAAGTCTTTTCTGTCTGCTCTAACTACTTTTGCACCAACAGCTCCCTCTGCTGGACGGAGACGTCCTAAACTCTCTACTAGAAAAGCATCACAGGCGTCAATCTCAGGCTCTCGGGCCAAATCTGGCCCACGCTAGATTTAGATTTGGCCCACTAGATCATATATCAAATATGTATTAACTGGCCCACCGGCTGGTGTGCCATAAAGACTACAAATCCCATAGTGCTTTGCTGCATTAGTGCATCAGTCAAAGCGCCCCCTCCTTTCTGTTTACAGTCATTAGCGTCCATGCTAGCGCAGCGTTACCCTCCTCAGTCTGGCTGACTGATGAACACACTGATGTAATCTGGTTAATCCAGATTTTGTCTATATGCAGAAATAAGTTTGTTTCCAGATGAAAAGGTTCAACAGTACATATCTGTAGATGTTCACGTTTGACATCTGTTTTAATAAATACTGAGTCAGTCCGGCAACTCCGTCCCAGATTTTCATTCCAGCCCAGTTCTAATGTGAGTTTGACCTCACTGATCCAGATGTGTGAAAACCTTTCAGCAGCACATCTTCAACTCACTTTCCATGACTTTGATGTTTTTACACAGCACAGTAAAACAGCTGTTGTTTACCTTGAAGCTGACATGTTTTAGCGACTCTAGCCATCATCAGAGTTAGCCGGTGTTGGTGGCGTCACTTCCGCGGGCAGCAGAGGACGATGTCGCCCTTTACTGCCCGTGTCCTCCTTGCTGATGACAAAGTCCCATGTGTGATCCAATGTGCTACTCCATCATCTCTTCGTGGTTTTGTGTCCATGTCTCCTTATTTCTATCTCTTCTTTGATTCTTTTGTATATATGTTGTCCTGATCCGTGTTCTGTCCCGGTCCAATATGTGATTTTTCCCTTGTGCAGTGGCCGGTTAACCGATTTCTTTATTTTGCTTTCTGCTTCTTGTTTGGCTGCTCTTGTGTGTCTTTGACTTGTTTTCCTCTCGCACTCTTTGATGTTCTATATTTCTATATTTGTTTATTTTTAAGGTTCCGTCTGTCTGGTTATTTTCATGTCCATGACTGTTATGCTTTTGTCTGTTTCGTCTTCATGTGTAAAATTTATGTTGTTGGTGATGTTGATGCTATTCAGGTGTTTTGTTAGTGTCTCCGTTTGTCCTCTGAGAATGATTTCTAATGTGTTATCCATAGACGCCCACAACCCCCCCCCCCCACACACACACCCACACACCCACACACACACACACGTTTTAAGATGACGCAGTTGGACGCCCTCCCCTTCCACATTTAGACAACAATCACAGTTGATGCTCAGTTCAGATTTTTTGAGTGAATTGGATTTATTTGTGTGAGTTTTCACACTTTGACTTAAATGTGACATCAAACTTTCTCCAGTGTGAATGCTCCACAGCCTCAAACTGACCCGCTTGTGCCGAAGACCAGAGTCACCGTCAGTGGAGTCGGGACCAGGAGAGGTGGAGTTGTGATGTGAAAGCCTGCACTGACAGTTCCTCCACAGGATCAGGACCACACCTGTCCTCCGCTGACTCAGTGATGTAGGAGATGGATTTAACACTAGATTTACTAAACCTGCACACATTTCCGTGAAATCCAGGACCTGGCTGATCTCTGACATCTGGACATGCTTCACCAAGAACTGCGGTGAGAGTTTCACTCCAGGAGAACACATGAAAACCACCTTAAGACACGTAGTTGTTAACACAACATCTAAGCTTACATTCCATTATTTCCTTCTTTGTCTCAGTTATCCTGTTTCATCATAATCTGTTCTGTGTCATCATTAGTAGCAGAAATATAGTATTAAGTTGATTTTTATAAACTATATTTTTGCCTCCGATTCAAATTATTATGAAGGTGTGATTTCCCTGGACTAGTAAAAAGACCTGGTTTCACCTTGAATCAAATATCATTATTATATAGATAATTCATATTTATATGGAACATCACATTCATTAAAAGTAACCACTTACATCACGTTACAACATGAATGGGAAGTTTGACATCATTTGTCCAATATCTGAAGTGTTCGTTGTGGATGGTAAGAATTATTATGGATATCTGGAATATTAACATTTCATTGGAACAACAGATTCATATATAACTGGAACACATCCAATCTGCCTAATAAATGTTGCTTAGGGTTTTCTAAGGATTTTTCTCAAATCAGTGCAGTTGTTGGATATCCTTACATAAAATTTAAACTCCTAACTAAATACCTGCTGATGTCTGTATTTTCAGTTTGACTAGTAATAATACTGTCGACTGTGTTAAATTACATTCATGCTTTGTAAAATAGAGCTAAAACATAGAGTTGTGGTTGTTGTTTAAATGTTAAAATGGTTCGTTGAATTCAAGTTCCGTCCATGTGCAAAAGCCTTTTGATCTTTCAGGATCTCTACACTCATTCTTCCACCGTCATTATGTTTCACAGAACTATGACGTTCCCTCCCTGAAACGACTGTTGGAGATCAGGTGGACAAGCCACCATGATGGGACCAAGTGCCTTGTGGAAAATCAGGATGCTATTATGAGTATCCGGTCCGGTGCTCAAACGGTGCCGGAACCAGTGCTTAAAGAATGTAAAAAACACACGTTTTCCAAAAACCTCTTATTTTTTTTTATTTTGATGTTTTTTTTTTTAAATCACCATGTTAGCTTTTTTTGGCAATATTCGGCATCGCTTTTGGCTGATGGCATGCCCAGCGCAAGAGAAAACACGCTCAGAAGGTGTTGGGACACACAAGTACGTATTGGATAGGGCAGATAAGTTGGGCAGTGTATCCCTCTTACTCCACCACCAGGCCACAGGGTCTTGTCCAGACGGAATTCTTTGCAGTCTTTTGTAGATGGCAAGTTCCTTTTGTACCTGCTCTGTGATGGAAGGGACTCTACCCGCTGTATGAGAAGCTGCATCCTCCTTAAGTTGTCTGTCCTCATCCTCAAACAGCTTTTCTAAGGCTGACTTCTGGACCTTTCTTGGCTGAAAAACAAAAATAAGTAGTGTGAGGATTGTCAAAACAACAAAGATCCCTTTTAGAATGTAGGACTACATGGTTGGATTAGAAAAACTCAGAAACTACATATTCTTCTGGCTTCTTCATCTCGGCGTCATCCATCACCCTGTCTGCTTGAGGGTCCTCTATGGGAGGCTATGGATACACAAATAATAAAAACATTCCTTCAACATGGAAACTACATCATGCAGAAGGACAACGTTGTGCAGAAAATACCTGATCAACTGCTGCTGTGGCATTTGCAACTGCTGCCTTCTCCAACCTGTCCCAGATGTCAGCTGCCTCACCTTCATCTAGATTGCCTTTAAAACGTGGGTCCATCAGAGTGGCCTCCTTCAGAAATTTATGAAGGTTTTCATCCTTTAAAGAAAGTATATAATATAGAAGCGGATACTTAAATGCAATGCTACCCCTATATTTGTTAGTATTCATATGTTCTTCAGATACCTGATATCTGTTCTGCAGACTACCCCAGACTTTCCCTTTTATTGATGAGGTGAAAACAGTGTCTTCATCAGATTGTCTGAAATGTGCCTCCAGCTTCATCAGGATGGGGATGATTTGGCTGCATGTGGGCGACTTCTCACTTGGCACACACATGGTTGATGTGTACAGGACTTACATGCACTTAACAAACACCTCTGCTTTCGTTAGATCAGTGCACGTGAAGCCTTCTAGCCTGTGGAAAATTATTAACTATGTTTAAGGTAAACGATGAAATGAAATAATTTAGCTCTTACAAGTGATGCTGGTGTTGTCCTTCTCCATTGGCTTCCTCAGACGTTGATCCAGAACAGCTGCCTGGATTGCATCCAACTGCTCCATAAATTTCTCCACCATCAGGAAGAGAGAGAGTTCCAGTGTGTTTTAATGCCAAGAATGACATTATGCTCTGGCAAATCTAAAGCACAGACGGACACAAATGTATTTTGAATTACTGTAAAAAAGGTAATATGATTAACAATACATTTTGATGTGTAACTATGCTACTTACTCAGGAGTCGCTGCTTCTCTCTGAGCACAGTTTTGCTCAAGGATGAACGCTGGAGCCACACCACAACTGAGCGGATTTTGGCACACCAGCTGGAAACTGCAGGAATGTCGTACACCTTTTGTGCTGCTAGGTTTAGGGTATGAGCAAAGCATCCCACTTTCAGAAAGTCCAAGTTTTCCAAAGCAACATCCATGTTGCTGGAGTTGTCTACAGTGGCAGCAATTACTTTCTGTCCTAAGTTAAACTGCTCCACAATGCTTGATATTTCATTAGCCACTACCAGACCTGTTTGTGACTCATAAACTGCTTCAGTGCTTATCACATTCTGCACCATCCTGCCTTTGTAGATATAATGAACCGTGACTGTGAGGAAATGGTCCTGAGCAGCACTAACCCTAACCCGACTCTCTCTGATGTTCAGTTATGCTGAGAAAACCTCCCAGGGTGTGAATTACACAGAGCCCAGTGACACGGGGTGGTGGGTGGGGTCTATTTTGCCTTGGCCTCCAAAATGCCTTGCTACGGCCCTGTGGACTGAGTTTTGAAGGTGATCTGAATTGTATCAAATGTATGAATATTGCTTGCTTATAAATTATTTCTTTAGGTAAAAGCTGCAGTGGGATAAATCTACCTACATTTTCCTTTTTAAGCTGCTTGTTTAGTTTTCTAGTTTTATGGGACTAATTTCCTGTCCCGTCTGTGTCTGATCTTCCTGCGTCTCCTCTCAATTATCTAGAAAAACTCTTTCCTGGCTTCCTACTTTAAGCGGATCAAAGGGATCTACCAGGCGCGAAACTAGTGTGCACTGCAAGGCTGCGCCATGAGGTGAAGTCACCTGAGGACAGGTGAGCTCCTCCTCAGCAGCTGACTGCGTCAGGCACGAATAAAAAACAGAAAATGATCGGACATGAACGGTCGTGGGTTAATTAGATTTTTTGGGTTGCGCCACGTTGTCAATACGCCGTGCGCAGGACGCAGTTGCCTGGAGCGCATCAAGGATCAGCGCTGTTCCTCCTCTCTGCTCAAGAATCCCCGGTGCCCCGAGACGTCATACAGATACACAGCCCTGGGTGTGGACGTTGAGGGCTTCCAGCTCCGCCGTAATTCTAGCTCTGCTCGGACATTTTCTTCAATATGACACAGCCCCCCCCCCCCTTCTCATTTATGTTGTTTTTGACAAAAACAGCTCTGCTGCTCCATAATGATGCATTTTAAACATTGGTGTTGTGTTATTGTAATATGTTATAATTGAGATAAATAATAAAATATGACAAAAAATTTCAAAATGTGGGACAAAATGACTTATAAGCCAACATTTTGGAAAAAAAACATACATTTTTCACATTTTCTGAAAGAAATACGTTGGTTCAGGTTAAAGTTCATTTTTATTACATATAAAGTTAAAGAAAGGGGCGTTCAGGTGCTGCTGTTGATGTTAACACTGGAGCGTGCTGCACAACAACAAGGTCCAGACTGAGATAAATGCATTAAAGTTAGGCTCCGCCCATTTGGGTTACTATGACCACCAGTGCCTACTACTACTTCTTCTTTCACCCTGCCCACGTGATCATTTGAAGTGACGTCATAAAGGCTCAGAGTTCTATTATCTAGCATCAGCCAGCTCCCACTTCATTAGCAGCCGACTGCTGGTGTGAGACACATCGACTCTCTGAGACAATCATCTTTTACAACCTCAAACCTTTTTTCTGAGTTGGATAAAAGACCAAGAGCCTCTAGAATCATGTCTATTCTACATTTTTCATCTGAGGAGCTCCAGCGGGAATTATCTGGGTGTAAACACCCCAAAATTTATTTTTCCCATATGGCGCTCTTGGAGAAAGTCCAGTCTCAGCTTTTAATCACGGAGACATGGTTAAGTGATGAAAAGCAGCAAACATTACAAGCAGAGACTGAATTGGAAAAATACAACGACATAATTACCGTCCTGGAACAAGAACTGGACATTTATCAAGACAATGCAGAGACCTGCAAGGTCATCCAGCAGGCTTTAGAGACCAAACTAAAGAAGAAAGCAACTGTGTGTGAAAATCTGCAAAATCTTTTAAAGCAGGAGTCCCAGCTGAGACGTAGATTTGAACAGGGGAAGACAAACGACCAGATTAGGAACAAAGTTTATCAGAAACTAAGAGAAGAAATTAATGAACTGAAAGAGCATCTGGATTACTACCAGGTTAACGCTGAGACCTGCGAAACTACAATTCAGGCTTTGGAAATTCAGTTGGAGGAAAAACTAAATGTTTCTGAAAGTTTGCAAACCCAGTTAGGACTGGAGTCAGAGCTGAGACTGCAGCTGGAAGAGGAGAAACAGAATAAAGACTCGCTCACCGAGGCTTTCTATGAACAAATCAGAGATTTAGAGATTATAAACGGTGTTCTGGTAGACGAGATGAAAAGTATCTTCTCTGAGACGAACGAGGCAGAGGAGAAGCTTTCTGAGGAGGACGGAGAAAAGGCTTCTCTCTGTGGGGAATGTGAACCCAGTTCAGAGGACGAAACTCAGCTGGGACCGAGTCTCAGATTAGCTGACCCAGCCCAGCAGGAGTCGTCTGGATGTCGGCATCCAACTTTCGATTCCCTTTTCCAGACAGTCGGCTCCGAACACCTACGGCTGTCTCGCCTGGACACAAGTCTCAGTGACCAAGCTGAAATAAGCTCAACCGTAGAGAGCGAGTGTAAAAAATCCCGAACTCTGATTGATGAACTCAAACAGAAACTGGATTTTTACCGAGGTAATGCAGAGTCCTGCAACAAAATGATGCAGGAGGTAAACTTACAGCTGAAGGAGAAAGATAATCTGCTGGAAACCCTCCAAAAGCGACTCAGACGGGAATCTGAGCTGCTGAGATCCAAGTTTGATCAGCAGCAGAAAATCCAGCGGAACAAAGACAACGTTTATGAGAAATTAAAGGTAGAAATTAGTGAACTGGAAGAGGGACTGGATTACTACCAGAGTAATGCAGAAACCTTCAAAATTACAATTCAGACTCTCAAAACTCAGCTGGAGGAACGAGAACATCTGATTGAAGACCAGCAACAGCGTTTAAAACAGGAGTCAGAGCTGAAACTCCGACTGGGACAGGAGATTCAGAACAAGGACTCGTTCAACGAGGACTTAGAGACACAAATTAGAGATCTGGAGAAAATCAACCATGATCTCTCAGAACAACTGGAGACCTTTAACTCTAGGAAGAACACGCCTGAGCCAGACGAGAAGCTGTCTGAGGAGCTGGAAGCCTTTACGTACCAGCTGGTAGAGGAAGCTTCTCTATGTGAACCTCAGGAACAAACTTCTGAGAGTCTGGAGCCTGACGAGGATTACGAGATGGGACATGATGTTTGCTCTCCACCTGAAGAACAGATAGATTCAGTGGAAGCAAACAGAAGTCTTCATGAAAATGCGCCTTCCCCCAAAGACAGCGTTCCACAAACAGTCAGGAACCAGAACGTTTCATTGTGGAGGCGCTTCAAGAAGTTTCTCACTCCGGCGTGTCTACGGAAACATAAAGTTAGGCCTGAAATTAGCATCTGACCCCCAAAACACTCGGGCTTCATGATGACGTCACGGGTTTAAACCCGAGCTGTGACCTCACGAAAATTAGCATCAGCATTCTCTAAATTTAGACATTTTTGTGAGAGTGAGTGAGTGAGTGAGTGAGTGAATAACTAATCTTAGATGCAACACCCCCTTAGAGCATGTAACCTAGGCAACGCCGGAGCGGCAGAGCTCCAGCGTCACACAGGGGTTCACAACGACACAGGTGGGGAGCGAGGGTGCAAAACCAGAGGGACAGAGACACCAGAGAGCAGAAGTTTGCCTGCAACCTCTTTTATTAACTAAATAAAAGCCCGTCTAAAATATACAACTAAAAGTTTGAGTCCATAAAAACAGTTTAAAACGTTCTTCAAAAAGACCCCAAAAGACTCCTCCCAGATCCACAACGTCACGAACAGGATGGGAAAGGCGGCGTCCCGGTGTCGGTACAGTATCTGATCGGGTGCAAGATCGGCTCGGGGTCCTTCGACTGCCGATGACGTCAAAGTACGGCAAACCCACTCGGACAAAATACACTACACAGCTATACTGTTGGAAAGAATTTAGCAGTTTCGTTATTAAAATAATGTTTCTTAAGACGTAAGTTTGTGTTTATAATAGTATTTGTAAAATAAAACACTATATTTGATTCATGTTGAACTCCTCTTTGAGCACATCCCTTTAAGGATCATAGGTATTAGCAACACCTGTGAAATTGTATTTGCAGGAAAGAAGTGTGTCCCGTTTATTGAAGTATTTGTGTTTAGAGTTTTTGACGTCTTGTCCAAGCGTAGTTCAGTTACGCTCATAGCTGCTAGCCAAAGCTATGGAGTTAAAAGTTTTCTGGCTTTACTAAAATACCTGTCTGTACTTATTTGATTGATGGTAGTTTTGCTTTCTATTAGACTCCAAATGTAATCATTTGGCACGTTTCTAATTCATAATTTGTAATAATGTAATCTGCGATATTAGCATTAGCATTCCTATGGGTTTTTCCATGTATATTAGCATTGCGCTAACCACTCGCTGCCAAATTGCAGCCTTTGCCATTAGAAAATCTCCTTTTGTCACATCGCAATTTAATTGCACACGCAGTTAATCGTTCAGCCCTAATATACTTGCAGCTCTATGCTAAAAGTGTATTTTCAAAGAGGTAATGATGGATTTCTTTGTAAAAGTTGTCCATCTTTCCAATAGAAAAAATTTGCCTGGACCAACGTCACGTGATAACAACGTTACGTGATTACGTAATTCCGTAAGGTTCATGTTCAGCCAATCAACTACTTAGACGTCATCGGCAGTCGACGGACCCGAGC